TCATATTTATAGTGAAACATTTTGTTTCCATGTCTTTAATGTTCTTAAAATTTATTTTAATACTATATGTTTCAATAATATAGTTAAAGCTCGTCATCATCTGCTACTTGTATTGAAAACATTCATAGGCCTATCAGTTTTAAAGCAAAATATTTCATGATCGAGAGTCTTAGAAATATTGTGGTTGTTTCTTTCTTGAATAAATTGGGGAAATTCAGTCATAAAGTGTTTTACCGTTAGATTCACATTACAATATTCACAAATTGGTTCTGGAAACTTACTAATCAGATGACCATGTGTTAGTCGCGTATGACCGAGTCTTAGACGCGTTATAGTAACTTCGGTTTTTTGATCAGGAGGTAACTTTAGCCACGGTTTCACAAACGGTTTCACTACACGCAATTTATCCGTTGAGGTCTGCCAGCGGGTTTTCCAAGCACTATACCCATTTCCTTTTTTAAAGTTTTTAATGTCATAGAATAGAATTTCTCGGATCTCTATCTCTATTGAATCTGTCAAATTTACTGCTTCACGAGCGTTTCTGTCAACTTCTTCATTTCCATATATTCCTTTATGTGATGGAATCCAAATAAAAACTTATGCTTGTTCTTATCTTGAGCTTTATGTAATTCTTGTTTAATTATAATTACCAGAGAGTTGTTTGGATATATCTGCTGTATTGTGTATAGAGAATTAATGGAATCAGTTAGTATGATGATGTCCTCGAGGTTGGAAGAATTGACCAGTAATAGGGCACGATATATAGCATATAATTCTGCTGTATGAATACTGCACGAATATGGAAGAGTATATTTTTCAGTTAAGTTGGATCCCACAATTGCCGCTCGTGTAACGCCATTTGATTTAGATGCATCTCTATACATTTTTGTATAGCCTGTATATTTTTCTTTAAGTCTTTGCAGGTTTTGTATTATTATTGTTTGTTGTATGTTTATCAGAGGAGGTCAAAGAGGTAATAATTTTTGGGTTTTTCAAGGTTTTGGACAACTTTATTCCTTGATAATTCTTCTACAAAAAAATAAAGAGTACGTAAGAAAAAAGTAAGAAACAAGTAAGTAAGAAAAGATTCGAAGAAAATAGTAATCTGATTTTGACGAGTATAAAAATGATACATGAAAAGAAAGAATTAATAAGATGAAAGAGAAATATTGAAAATTACCTATTTTATATATATACTTAGAAACAGCTATGAAAGGCGATTCAAATGCCAAGTACCATAAAATTCCTATTATAAAAATGAAAAATAGGTCTCCAAAGAAATCTAAAATAAATAATACACGTGGTGATCCATAAAAAAATGTTTCCAAAATAGGCCTTGAAAAAAATTCACATATTACTCTTCCTTTAAAGTTTAGATTCAGTACAGAGCAGTGACAGTCCTGGCCCAAGTTAGGAACATTTTTTGTCAATCATTCTTTATACAATTTATTTTCGCTTTCTAAACTTACTTACGTTTATTATATCTGAAAACTAAGTCGAATTCTTTTTGCCACTAGTAAAATAAATTAGTAATACGCTTTGGATCAAATATATACTATACGAAATCCTTACGATGATTCGAAATAGCGGCATTGATAAAAATGCATTTATTTTCCCTACAAAATGTAATTGTTAAATATTAGTTCATTCATTTTTTATTGTCTCAAATAAAAAATGTAAGAGTCAATTTTTTTATGTTTGATCTATGAAGACTACGAGGCGCTATTGGAAATGACAACTCTACTTAGCGCGGTATTTTCAGACTATATTTCTCGCTATTACCATTGACGTACGTAATCAATAAATTATGAATCTTATACTTTTAAGCTTAAACTGAATACCACTGACTCTATAGCGATGAGATATGAGAGTAATATTTACTTAGAAAATGGTAAGTTAACAAAAAATATCACATTATGATAATCACGACAGTGGCATAGAATATAGAGGAGGAAAACTAAGTTTCTACCCCTCATATGCTTCTGTTAATAATGAGAAATTATCTTTTACTATAATTTAAAAATTAAAAATATTTTTGGACTGTTTGATTAAAATGCCTACTGTGTTTTGCTTACCGTCTTTGTTAATAGTACAAAGAAACAATATTAGTTCAATAGCAAGTGCCCAAAGTTGCCTTGTGGATGGATGAATTAAAAATGGCTGCTTTAATTACGTTGTATTAATAAGTTGCTGTAAAAACAGCGTTAAAACGCTCCAGAGTTTTTTGACACCAATTTATCCTAGCTTCTTTTTGTTCTTCGGTCAACAGATGCGGTATCCAACAGGACACTAATTTTTTTACTTCCAATTCTTTATGCAAAATCTTTTGGATTGACGTCTTTGAAATCCCTAACGATGCTTTAATCTCGTGATATGTTACATGCCGATCTTCCTCGATGAGCCACGCACAGCATCAATAGTTTCTCGGGTGACTACCGATTTAGATGCACCTGTTCTTGGCTCGTCACTAAGATTAACCCGTCCTCGTGTAAATTCTCCATACCAACGAGAAATTGTCGATTGATGTGGTGCATCACTACTGAAAACACAAACCAACTCGGCGAGGCATTATTGTTGAGATAATTGTCTTCGAAAGTTGTAAAAAAATTATGTCACGAAAATGTTCCCGGTTTAAATCCATTTCTTGAATAACTTTTTAACTTTGAAAATTCCGTATAACTACAACACCCTATGAATCGGACGGAAACTTGGAAGTGAGGTTAACTAAAGGCGACAGTTTATTTTTATTAGAGTCGTTTAATTCGTAACGCCCTCTAATGCACGGTACGCAAAACTTAAAAGACAGCCCTCGTAGTTTAAAGCCGCCCCTGTTGAATTTACTTAAAATAATGTATTTAAAGCAAATCCAATAAAATAGAAATAACTAGCGCGGTTAAAATATTTAAAAACATAAACCATATCCAATAGAAATGCATAACTTAAAATCGTTTAGCAATGATTTGCCAAAACAATAATAGTTGTTAATATGTGAGCACGATTCAATGGCATCAGCCCTCTTACGAGTAAAAAAAGAGTGGGAGCGAACCGGCTTTTCAACTATCTAGAGTCAGTCAGAAATCAAAGCCTAGGTTCATAAAATAACTTTACACACGATCGTGTGCCTAATACACGCCATAATGGTGGTCAAGTAATTATAAATGTTCTTAGCTTAATTAAACTGTATAGGTGTAAATATGTAAAAAGATAATGTAGTGTTGTGTTTCACTACAAAATAAACCGTGTTACAACTTAGGTGTCTTTCTATTTTCGACCGTCGAAGCATCTACAGCCAGCAACGTATGGATACGTATTAGGTAGCAAATTCATTATGGAATTCAGTTCACTCCAGTTTTATAAACTTGTTTGGTGTGCAAAAGGTCAACTATCTTTATTGCATGCTGAAACAGATATTAAATATGCGAGTAAAAAACCTTTGTTAATATTTTTGAGACATTCTTAGTGTAGGAATAAAATAAAAGGGTTAAAAATGGAACAAAATTGAAATACTAAATGAATCGTAAAACACAACAAAAAAAAGTAATAGGACAAACTATCTAATTGGGATCAACTTATGAACTCTAACTAGGAGAAAGAGTTAGTTTGTACATATTTCATCCGTTATAGCACATACAAAACATTCCTAGTAGTGTTGGGTACTTTTTGTGTTAAAAAAAAAACTAATGTTTTACATAGATTTAGAGTGTAAGAAGATAGGCTATGCAATAAACCATAAAAATGTATTATAGTGAGCTGCTACCTTTTTAATTTTGCGAATAATGATCATGCTCAGAAAGGAGTGAACAGGCCAGTATTTAGAATATTAAACAAAACAAAACTATTTTGTTTATATTATGATATGTGTGGTTTTGTTAAATCATTTCTTCTCTATTATTCCAACCAATTTATAATGAGAAAGAAAATAAACAACAAAACTAGTAAACGTGTTTATATTTATTAAAAATAAAAAAAACTAAATTTATTACACTACCTACATCACATAAAATTTGTATTGTGAGAAGGAAAATAAATAATAATGAAAACTAGTCAGCGTCTTTACTTTATTAAAAGTTAAAAATAAATATTTATTTCACTACATTACATATAAAGTGTTTGCAACAAGTAAAAATTAACCATGAAAAAGTATAGCTTAAAAAACAAATCTAAAATTATTCTAACCTCTTACAAAAGAACCTGTTGTATATTGTAAAAGAGCGAAACAACAAAATTATCAAAAAGATCCAAATACACTTAAAAACAAAGTAATTCCAAAAACAGGATTAATCAAAATTATCCATATCAAACGCTTAAAATAAATCAGTCAAGAGAAAACAATTATAAAAAGGGCGAAAAACAAAAAACATTTAGCGTAAAATTATAGGTGTAACAGAAATTCTGTCCATTACGAGAATTACGAATAAAATGATAGTAATCGTACCGGATATCGGAGCAGTAGACATAGCCAAAATTTGAATAACTGAACATTTGGCGCTTGTTGTTTGGAACCAATGCTATTGGCCTGGTGAAAAAATCAATACTTGTTCTCGCGGTGGCGCACCTTGACTCGAGTTTGACTGATTTAGCTCTTTTCTATCACCGATTGCTGCCAACGCCAGTCGTGAATTTGTTAAAAGCGTTAAATTTTTCGATGTAGTGAATTAAAAGTAATTTTCGTTAGTGCAGATAATAAGGGTTTTGCCACATTAGAATATCTGGTAAGAATAATTTGTTTTTTTTTCTTAGAAAATGCTGACACGTGTGATTACAGAATGGATGCCGGCTTAATATTTTTTGTAATTAAGTTTTTTTATCCATGCAGCTGAGGGGTCGAGAAATTTGTTCATCAATTTTATATGAATAATTCATATTCAAATTTCGCTATATATTTTAGCTTATTTTGCTAGTATATTTAATTTCTGATGTAGTTTTTTTTTATACATATAAAAATAGGTAAATTATGATATTCCAAATAACGGTTGAAGTTGTTTTCTCTGTGCTAATAT